TGCCAGCCCAAGTTTAGTCCTAGGACACAAGGTCTGCTTAATTACTCATTTCTTAACTGTTTGTCAAGAGTTGGCTTTCTTATTCAATAAAGGCAACCCTTCTGCCCTCTTAATATACATACATACCAATGCAGAGTCAAAGAAGTCTTCAAGAAGTTGCATCAATAATTTCTCACTTGGGTCGATGAGGTTCACAAACTCTCTTGCTCTTTCAAACCAAGATACCAAGTAAAAGTTAAAAGAATCAGTTAAAACCTGAGTTATTAATCCTTATAACACAGACATCATCAGGAAACCTTAAACACAGAGACAAGTTTTTGTAGTCCTTGAACTTCAAACATGTTCTCTGTCAAAAGCTACACAGAATTAAGGAGCTCAAATTTTGCTAGGAGGACAATAAAATTGACACCCTTGCAGCCACTCCACAGGATTTATTCCTCTGCTTCCCTCCTCAACCCTCTTTTTGTCCTCCTTTCTCATGCCAAGGCACCCACTCTTGATGCTCAGGAACTCCTGGACACAATGCATGCTGCTAGTGGTATCATTACTTCTATGGAGATTTCTAGTAGACATCAATTCATAGTAAAACAATGTTTTAAAGATTTGTCAAGCTTTTTCAAAGTCATTATTTTAATACTTTAGCATTTAAAAGCATATTGCACAGCATCACACATATACGGCTAGCTACAAATCTATGCTTGACTGGAGATACAGATGTCAGATTGGTGATATTTTGTTATTAATCTCTCCATACAGGAATTTTGAGCAACTGTATCCCTGAAAAGTATAGCTACAAGGCAGGACAACAACAGTTTGGACTGCTGACTTTTTGGCACAACTCCACTAACACAGAGCAAGTGTTAACTGCTCCCTCCCACCTGTGCTAGGCCCGGGTATTCCTCATCTTCCACACAAGTACATTTCTGCTACTACAAGTATTACCAACTGAAATAAGTATTGTGCCAGAAGATAAAATGTAGTTGCAGATTAGGTGCGCCTGGTTTACTATGGATCTAAAAAGGGACCTTCATAAGGAATACATCAGCTTATGGAAGTATAAAACTCTGTTCATCAGTTCTATTACTAGGACTGTATTTTACTGGAGCACTTAAAATACATTTAGGAATTCTATACTATTTCTCAAATAGGAGTAACCCAAACTCACCCTCTCCTTCCACTGTCATCTTAAAAAAACAAAACCCAAAAAACATAAATCCATATAGTCAGGTAGTAAGCAAAGCCATGACGTTAGCTGCTGTACTGAAAGCAATGCAACAAAAGCAAGTATTTTTTCCCCACTAGGCTCATACAATATGTTTAAAAAGAAAAAGATACTCCTTTCTGTGACAAGCCATCTTCTAGTTTGCACTTCCTTGGAGTTCTTTTCCTGATACAAGCAACCTTAAATCACATTTGTAATGTTGTATACAGTATTACACTCATCTTTTCTACCAGTCCTTGCTCAATAAGCAAACTCGTCCTGTCTTGAAGGTCACTTTTAAAGTAGAGCTGAATACATTTCAGCATCAGCGAAACATTCTGGAATTGATTCTCGTCCAGCTCCTACAGAAACACAAAGTGCTGTGCTTCATTAGTCTGATACCCACAGAGCTAGGTGTTAGAGTGGTTACGGTTATTGATGGTACTTGCCTTTCTCAGTATTTTGTCCAACTGGTTGAGGAAAGATTTCCTGTATTTCTGGGGAGGTTCCATTTCTCTCTCCTGAAGCAGTTCACTTATTTCCTGAAACCCTTTCCCCTTAAAAGCATCAGCGAGAAGTGATTTGAGCTGCACAGGGGAGGAGAAGCAAGCAGGTAGTGAGTAAAACAAACAGGCATTTCAATTGTAACTACACTTGCAATGCTATTTTAAGTTACACTCTTTTTGTTTCTCTGTGTTTACATTGTTTCATTTTACTCTTACACCTGAAGGTGAACCATCAGTCCCCCTCCAAAAGAGACAAGACACTTGAAACTGAGTAATCTTAAAGGATACTGGATAAGGAAATCAGCAACTCTTTAGTACACTCAGTTTGCAAGTCATACCATGTTCCACAACTATAATGGTCATTTCTTCCCTCTTACTAAGGAAAGATTAAGGGGTCTGCAGCACTTCCCACGTTACATTAAGTTACAAAAATTCTACATCATACCACACCCATCTAAAAACACACCTTTAAGTATACATAGGCTATTTGTAAGATAAAATTAAGGATACATTTAAAAGGTATTTACATAGTCTTCTGCTTTAGCTACCATGTTGCCGTTCACCTCTCTGTTAAGTTCTTCAAGTGCTTGCTCCTTTAAAAAGGGGGGAAAAACAAAAAAACAGGAGAACAAAACAAAAATCCTCTCCTGCCCAAAAGCTGAAGACTGTTTGCTCGGCTTCTCCCTCCCAGAAAGCTATTTTCTCCTCTTTAATCCCTATGAAAAGTTTCAGTCACCCAATGCTTCTGAACCAAAGGTTTATAGAAGTTACAACCACGAAAAGCCACTTCGGAGGACCGCAGGCATCCCCGGAGGGGGGGGGACGGCATCACTCTAGGGGTGCCCCCTAGAAGGTAACATCACCCTTTGAGAATCCCCCAGGAAAAGAAGCGTCACCCTGGGCGGAGGAACCCCGTTCCACATCCCACTGCCGGTTCCCCGCCCCAGGGAGCAGTGCTTACCTCAGCCATAGTGCAAGAGAAGGAAGAGAGTAAGGGGCAAGTACAGGTGCTCCTTCACCCACGACCTTCGCACGACCGTATCCGACTGCTGCCAGGTACACCCGCGTTTGAGACGGAGGAAGAAGCAGTCGCTAACGTTTCCCACAGCTTCAAGAGATCTCCTTTCCTCAGTCAACCTAACTACCAAAGTGTATTCCCCAAGGGAAAAAAGCAGGGTTTCGCCCTGGCACTAAAGAAGCCGCACCTGTGTGGCAGGGGCGGCTCGGACGGGTCCGTTCGCACCTGGGCGGTAGGGTTTGACCCTGCTCCGAGCAGACGGGTACGAAAGGGGAGCCCAGCCCCACAGTGAGGGCTGCCTCCTGTCCTTGAGAGGGGGATCTACAGTCGGTGCCCTCTGCTACGGGCTGGATTTTGCTTTGCACAATTAAGGGTGAAATTCAGTAACTTTTCCGAAGGGATGGAAGCGAATGAGAAAGCCATTGAGAACAGCTGGGATCATTTAAGAGATTACGGCAGCACGAAGCGTTCACCGATTTTGTCTCTATAATATTATGCGTGCTTTAAGTTGTTTCTGTCTCTCATAACTAAAAGCAAACTCAAAAAGAAAAATAAAAAGCCCTACCGGGTAGCTTTTCTAAAAAGGAGGCAACAATAACAAAAAAAAAAGTCTGTAACTTTGTAATAAGTGAAAAGGTGCTGATCAGTAAAATGGCACTGACTGCAGTTTCATGCTTTAAACTTTATGTCACCGAGCACAAAGGGGAAAGGAGAACATCCCTGTTAGCGCTTAATTCGTTTCCACCTAAACTTAAGGAGCAGGTGCACCAGCGCATTTAAGGAAGAGGGGGTTACTAACAAGCTGCCTTTTCCTTGCTTCATGGGTCTTTTCAAGTTTCGGGCAGCTCTGAGCTGCACTCGAAATCAAATACTGAGTGGGTCTCTACCGGGTCTAGACGCGCCTGGAGAGGGGCACCTCCCCGAACCGTCGTCCCCCAGCTGAGCCCTGTTGCTGCCGCCGGCTTAGGCTTCCAGCCCCAGTGCTCGGGGCTGGATTGGGAAAACCCCCTTAGCTACCCTTCCACGGCAGGTGGGGGGAGCGGAGGGGCAGTGTAGACCTTGCCCGCCCCCCCATGTGAGGGTGTATGTGCTGCTGCTCCGCCTGCAGGGCCGGCCAGGACCCCCATCGCTACCTCCGACAGCCCCGACAGTATAAAAAAGCAGGAGCCGCTGCCTGCCACCACCCGCCGGCATGAAGCTCACCTGGGATATCAACGACCCCCAGCTCCCGCAGGTACCGGGTGTGGGGGGTGCAGGAGAGATATCTCCTCCTAGCTATAAGGTGGGACTGGGAAGCGGGGGTGGCAGGGGGGAAATATCTTCGCGAGGTAAAGCTTGGTATTGTGGCAGCTTTAACTCTTCAGCACCTTTTCAAACGTAAACACCTGTGGCTGGATGGACTGCAATAGTCCTTACAAAGTGGCTTGTAAAAAAACATGGATTTGATATGTAGCTTTAGCCAGCTGTGTATGACCTCCTAAAATAATCTGAAGACCTACAGTTTGACCTGTTTCCTTCTCCCTTTTTAATCCATTTAAAGAAATGTTGAAAGAAAGCTTAGATTGCCTATTTCCTGCTACTGTAATTCAAGTCCTCTAAATATTTAATTGTTTTGTTGGTGTGACATTTTACTGTCAGTTACCACTTAGCTTTTTTTTCTAGTTGTGACCTTCAAGTGCTTTTTTTAATTCACAACTTTTTTCATCTTGGTGTTTACTTCATTTTTACAAAACTACAATTAGAGAATGGCTCAATGCTGTAAATTCTGGTAGCTTACCTGCATTCGCATACATTTAACATGTGTACGTTAAATGAGTGTTGCAGAAGATTTTACTTGCTCCTTTCTTTAAACTTGGAGTTTAAGATCTTGGTTGGTCTTTTATTGTTCTGGTAATTTCATTTTGGTGAGGAACTCCATAAAGATGGGGAAATCCCAAACTGAAATGTTCTTTCTCTGAATCACTATGCAGGTATTTGAAGTGTATCTGCAATGGCAAACTTTATTTCTATTTTTTGGCTGAAGCCTTATTCAGCTCCTATTTGATACACTTTAATAAACCATTCCTTAGTTAAAACTTCTAGTTTTTAGCCTGCAGATGCACAGTCATATGATGGAGTGAACTTTAATTAAAAGCATGTGTGAGCAGGGTGGGTTCTATCATGCCTGGACGGATCCATAGCAGACCAGTAAGTTTTTTAACAAAGCTGATCTCTTACAGCTGGGTAGCCTCCCTGCAAAGAGGCACCTGTGACAACAAACCATGTTATTATGGCTCATGATGCAAAAGAGGAAAGGATGCTGAGTTTCTTTTGAGACCTGGAAGCTCAAACCGCCTTTCCTCTTATACAGGGCTTTTCTCCCAGTAACTAATTCTCTCAATTCATCTGCTGTTCAGGTGATCTCAGAAAAAGCTCTTTTTCACTATTACATACTTTGTAACAGTCCAAACCATCAGGTTGCACTACCCTGCTAATGTTCTCCTGCTATCCTCCTTGCTGCCTTGCCCTCCCACCTCCGTTTGTCCCGCTGCAGGAGCCCAAGCACTTTGATGCCTTCCAGGAGTGGCCCGATGGCTACGTGCGGCTCATCTACTCCAGCGAGGAGAAGAATGCACAGAGACACCTCAGTGGCTGGGCCATGCGCAACACCAACAACCACAACTGCCAGATCCTCAAGAAGTCCTGCCTGGGGGTGGTGGTGTGCTCCCGGAGCTGTGCCCTGCCTGGCGGAGCCAGACTGCAACTTCGCCCAGCCATATGTGACAAGGCTCGGCAGAAGCAACAAAGTGAGAGGAGTAAAGGAGAGATGGGATGTCCAAGGGACCCCATTTCCTTCAGCTGGGCTTTAGCTCTAAATTTGGATCACCCTTGTTTGCATGCAGACTAAAGCATCATTGCAAAGACCGTGATGAATCCGTTTATTTTGTGATTAATATATATATTTCCAAATTTCATCAATGTCAAAAATACTGAAAGGGAAATGGGTCTAAGATTTGTTATCTCATTAGCATTTATTTCAATTATGCAGCTCTAGTTTCTGTCATTCAGTTACACTTGGTAGTCTATGTTGCATTTCCTTGGACATTGTATTTTAATCTGAATTTCAGTGAAGGCAGATCATATTGTTCTTGAGCTCTCTTTACTCTAGAACAACATCCTTGTCTTTAAACAGTGTCTTCAGTAGTTTATTTGTCTATTTGCAGAAAAAGCTTGCCCAAACTGTAACTCAGCCCTTGAGCTCATCCCTTGTCGAGGACACAGTGGCTATCCAGTCACTAACTTCTGGAGGCTTGATGGCAAAGCAATATTCTTCCAGGTAAAAACCATGCATATATGTTATACCTATATATAAATTGTATCTGTATAAAAATAATATTGAGAGAGAGACCATTTTCCCCTCTCTCCCCCCCCCCCTTATTCTTTTTTCCTTGCATAGCATTGGGTATGGTGAACATGTTGGAGTTTTGGTCTGTGACTGAACTCCTCTGTAGTGCAAACATGGCAAGAACAAATAAAAGAGTAACACTTGGGTGTCCTTTTAAAAGCACTGCTTGTGAGTTAACTGTATTCAATTTTAACTACAAAAACACCATGTCTTATTTGTGTACTGTAAAGAGTAAACTTTTAACAAAAAGGTTGTCCTGCACCCTTGTGTAGCTGACAACTGAATGTCACCCAGGACCTAATATTTATCTCCTATTAAATAAATGGAAAGAAAAGCCTTACTTAAATTGTACAAACTGAAATGTGAAATTCCTACTTCATATGAAAATAATATTTGAATTTTAAAAGGGTTTAAAAACTTGGCAGAAAAGAGGGAAATTTAAAAAGCTAAAATTTGAAATGCTGATTTCTTCTTTTTTAGCAACAGTAGGACAAAAAAAAAAATCACAAAAAAGCTCTGTTCTATGAGATTACATTCTCTGCTGGATGATTTCTTTTGCTTGACCCATATGGCAGTGAATTCTGTTCACCAGTCAGTATATGGAAGCAAACTAGCCATGTTCTCAAATTCTCACGTGTGGTGTTGTCGCTGTTCAGGTATTCGGTTACAGACATGCAAAACCTGACGATTTTTGCCATCAAAATAGTTGACAAATCTTTGCTAAGAAGTTAATTCTTACTTGAGAAAGGACAGCATTTTAAAATCAATTTAAGTTTCCTACTTTGTCTTAGGGACTATTTGAAGGCCCATTCAAGGGAGTGTCATGGGTAAGGACTTGTTAAATATATTGTTTCATCATGTATCCATATAGCTTTGGATACATGGATCTTCATATCACAGATATTTCAATAGCAGGGCATCTTTGAATGCCTTTCCAGGATATACATTCCAGTCCTATTCAAGACTGGTGGTGTGAAACCTCTTTATTTTTTATTTACACTGTTTTAGTGGTGGCTGTTACTACAAAGTAGAACTGCAATGCTGGACTGCAGAAAACCAATTAAACTAAATTCATAAAATTCCCCCCTGGGTTCTAATTAGTTACTCCTGAATACCACAAATACAGGTAACACCCTTGCTCCTTCATCAGCTCTGCAGTCCTCATTGACTTTGCTTTTTCTTTCTATATACCTGCAAATCCCTATTTATTTTTTACAGTACATCCCTTCTTGTTTAGTACCTCCTGCACATTCTCCTGTGCTGTGGCTATATCTCATTCTACTTATTGCATTTTCTGTTCTTTTACCCATTTCCAGTTCGCATCTAATTCTTTGTTAATATTAATTTAGGCTAAAGGAGTCCATGACCACCCCAGGCCAGAGAGTAAATTGGAGGCAGAGGCAAGACGAAGTGCGTTTAAGAAGCAAATGTCCTCTTTCCACCATTCCCAGAAAAAAAGACCTCTAAACTCAGAGGTAAGTCAAAGTCATTAGTCAATTATAGCAGTGTTGTAAGCATGCACTGGGGATCCTTGAGCAAAACAACATTTTACATCCTGCTACATCTGTTCATTTGGGGCTGAAATGAGCAATAGCACACACGTGGAGATATATACATGTGTGTGGGCAGTATTGATTCATGAATCTCAAATATGTTCATGTTCTTGTCCTTGTCAGGCAGGAAGATACCATGACAGCAGTGGTTATGCCAGTAACCTACAAAATCTGCCCGGCACGGATGGCCCAGAAAGGGTTGGTATCATCACAGACACCAGTTTTTCAATTCCAGCCCAGTCTTGCCCTTTGCTGCAAAACTCTGACCTTTACAAAGCATCTTACGACACAGCCGGCTTCCAAGAGGACCAGCTGTCACCATACCCGAAGTGCTCCAATCCAAGGATCTACATGCCCAGGCCATGCAGCTATGAGTTTGGAGTTCCTACCTTTATAAGCTCCAGCCCTTACCCAACATTTTACAAAGATCTGACAAGTCCTGCCATCGACACAGATCCCCTCAGTTTGAATGGATCTCACTACAATGCAGGGACCACTCATGATAAAAGCTTTAATAACCCTGGCAGACACTATGGATTGAAATCAGCCTGGGGGAAAACTGGCAGTGGAGACCATAGTGACTATGGACAGATGCAAACCAGTACTAACTACCCTTGCTACAGTGGGGACTACCCTTGCAGGTATGATCCCAGCCCCTCTCCCATAGCCCCACCACTGCAAACAGTTATCACAACCACCACCAAGGTGTCCTACCAGGCCTACAAGCCATCAGCACTGAAATACAGTGACAACCTCTGTGATATGAAAAACCTTCAGAGCTATACCCACGTGGCAGAAAACGTCTCAGGCGCTATCTATTCAGGGATGAAGATTCAGGAAGACTTTGGGATGATAAAGTCAGCATTGCTTTACCAGCATGACCCAGTCCCCACAAAGTCCAAACCAGCTGAGAGCATGGAGACCTATCGGTATGGGCCACCGCTGGGGAACAGCTATGCTGAGCATGAAGGCCAGACCTTAAAGTTTGAGAGTGCTGAATATTGACTAAAAGTTGCCTAAATGGTAAATACAGGCAAATGGGAACAAAAACTCTTGTGCTGACCATGTGCATGCTAAGACCAGTGGATTGGGATTTGAGGAGAGGTGAGGAAGCAGTACATCACAATTGCTTATCCCCCAAAAGTGCTTTTCTGAAGCTGTGCTGAGGAAAGTGTATTTTGCATACAATTTCAAACCAGCCCCACTTAATCCCTAAAATGGCATGTGAAGTTGATCCCCAAACATGCCCGGGAGAATGCAGTGGGAAGATGCAGCACCTCGGGAAGTCAACAGCCTCTTCTGATGGCAAGTGCAATTCACTTAAAGCCACAGCTCCTGACAGATGCCTCAAGGTTTGAGAGAAAACACTCTTTGTAAGAAAGAAAATGCTTACTGGGTAATGGACAAAAAGATGAAGGAAGGTGGCTATAGATTATACTTAACTGAAAGAAACGACTGAAAATGAAACAAATTAAGAAAGCAAGACAACTTGCAGAATAATTCACCTGAACAGCCCATTTACCTGCTGTGATCCGTTTGATGAATGAAAAGACCAGCTAGGTTTCCCTGAAATGGGAAGTGAAAAAACTACATGCTGACTTCATGTCGCTTTTTGATCCCCTGCATCAAGAGTACTTGCCAAATTTTTTAGGCAAAAAGGAAAGCACAGGCTTGCCCCATCACCACTGAGAACCTGCCACTCCCTGTCTGGAGGCAAGAAGGCTCAGGTGACCCTCTCCACAAGCATGCCCAACACTGCATGTGTGCCAGGTTAATATCTCTGGTCCTGAAAACCATTTGCAGTGAAACTGCTTTTTGCCTAAAAGGGTCTGGCAAGCTGGTCAGACCAATACTGCGCAAGTATTGCTGCAGAAATTAGCTTTGCTCATGAATACAAGTCCATCTTGTCTAAAAATGCAGCATCCTAGCTGCTTAGCAGTACAGATCAGTGCTGAATGCAACTTTCCTGCTTGTCTTTCTGCACTGCATTTCCATTAGATATTTCCCCTTCCTTTATTATTCTCCTCTTCTAATTATTCTCTCTGCAATCATAACTCCCCATAACCATCATCCTAGAAATGAAGCAACTAAAACTAAGGTAGGAAAACAGCATTTGCAGATGGCCTGAGCTAAACAAAAAGTATGTAAGGACTTGCATCCCCAAATTCTTAGCTAAATGAATTAATTCTCCATTAAGCCAGGAAAAAGAAACAACACAGGAGTACTGCTAGTTTAAAATTTGGGTATTTTTGAAAGCTGCTTAGTACTGAGGAATGTAACTTGTACCCAAACTGTGGGTGCTGATCTAGGGAGGTAGGTAGAAACGGTGGATTAGTCAGAGTTACAAAGTTTCTTCTTATCAAGTTACCAAGTACCTTTAACTTTCTGGACGCTCAAATACTTAAAAACATTTTAGGTATATTTTTGCCATGTTTTGAGGAGCAGCATGCTACTTTCAATAAGCATGCCTTTTCAATAAACATGAAACCCCAGATAAGCACCATGCAAACTAACATGAGCTGCTGATTAGCTGGCTTCAACACACAGGGCCTTGTAATGCTATCATCAAACTGGTAAACAAACCTTATTTTCAAACCATAATGTACAAATACCCGAGTTGTTAAAATAAGTATTTCTGGTATTGTATCTTTTCTTTGTATGTCTATGAAAACAGTGCAAGCAGTCTGACATGTGAAATTGAGCCCCACAGGAATTTAGCTAATTTTTAAAATTCAAGACATGTGAAGCTGTAATTCACAAAAAGGCTAAATGAATTCATGTGCAGCAAGCTTACCTTGTCTGTTAGGGTATACCTTGGCTTTTGTTAAACTCTCATGGCAGTTCTTTTGCCAGGTCTTTTAAATTACTGCCAAGAACAGACTCAAGTGAGCAACCTCAGTTTGATAATTAATCTATATACTGACTTTATTTTTTTTTTTTTTTTTTTTTAAGAAGGTGGTGAGAATAAGAAGTTACTACCCAGAAAGACTGGTTTAGAGTTTAGGAGCATATAACTCTATGCCCATTTATAGAACTGAGATTTCTCATTTGTACTCCAAATCATGTTGAGGCGTTTGGTTTGTAGAATAAAAATCAAGATGTACAGCCTTCCAAGTTTAAAAGAAAGAGACTGTAGGGGAATAAGGCTGAACAAAATAATTCAAAAATCTGGAAAGATTCACAGCAGATGTAGAAGTCAAAACTTTCAAGCAGGAAGTTGCTCCATTTTATATTGTTTTTAGAGGAGTTACACAACAGCTCAAGCTTCAAGTGTATTAAAACACTCAGACAAGCTGTGGGGGTTTTGTGCTGTTAATATTGCTCATATAAAATGAAACTTGTCACTGTAACTGTATGCTTAAATCATTATGCTATGCTTTTAAACACAGCCTTCTAAGCAGAACCTTGTGCATCAATTAAGAAAATGCAACCACTTGTGTTAAGATGCTACTTTCTGGATATGGATTTGTTCCTAATAAAAATGACAGCTGCTTAAGCACTGTAAAAAGCTACGGTAGCAATTGCCTCACTGCATCATTTGTAGCACTAGAGAAAATAAAACCACTTTAAAGGTTATTCCAGTCTTTCTTCACTTTGCTCCTTTCATTCATAAGTGTCTGGGACAAGATAGCTGGATGTTACCTTTTTCAGATAAAAGATCAGATGGGCGAAGTGTAGTGCTCTGCATAGTTTTCTCTTCAAAATATATATATGTAAAGGTAGTGTGAGTTTGTGTAATAAAAAGCCTGAAATTGAAAGCCTCCTTGTTGGTTTATATAGCTGCAGGATTGACTTTAAAAGCATGTTTCTCAAGCAAAGCAGTATTCTGAAGAAAGATGTGTTCCCTTTGGTCCCTGAATAAGCAGCTTCTCTTCCATTAATTGTCCCCTTCAAGCACATGAGAGGAGCCCCTTGCCAGCCCGCATTCTGTACTACAGCAGACATCTTCATCTAACAAATTCCAGTTGTTACAGTGAAGCCACAGAGGAAGGGGGAAAAAGGCTCTTTCAAACCTTGGACACCTGTGGCTCCAGGTTCATAGGGACTACAAGGGCCCTACTGAGGTAAAGGGCCATCTGTTCCCATGCTGAAGCTGCCCTTTGTAACCAAAGAGCAGCTTCTCAGTGGCAAATCTTAAAAGCACGAGTGTTGAATGGATGCATCCCAGAGACAAGGGCTATGTGAAAATGTTTTTGAACTGTGTACCTACCAAATGCAGTGGTATGTCACATCTGATGAGTGCAACTACATGCGGCCACCATCTTGTGGTTCCCATCTCCTTGTGCTTTTAAGGCACAGCTTGGCACACTATCCTTCTCCACAGCCACCTGTGTCCACCCAGTCCTGACAAAGACCTCTCTTGAGAGTCTGAGCAGTTTGCTTAGCCCTTGCTCCTCTTCTGAAAGCAGGTTACCTCTGGGCTTCTCAAATACACCAAAGCCTACAAACAAGGTATGCAGACACACAGCTGGTTTGGCTTTACTGAGCTTGAAGTAGTTGATCTCCTCATTTTGGGGTACAGATTTTATCATTTTTAAAGGCAGAGGCAAGCTTTCTCCCAAGTTCTACAGGTGAAAATGAGAGCTACGCTATAGCTGCTGATAATGCAACAAAGCAAAATATGGCAGGATATATCCAATTTGGTGGCCTTCATAATGGGGCTATGGAACTGATAGGGGCAGAGCAGTTGATGTCATCTACCTGGACTTGTGCAAAGCACTCGACACTGTCCCACACGACATCCTTGTCTCTAAATTGGAGAGACATCAATTTGATGGATGGACCACTCGGTGGATAAAGAACTGGCTGGATGACCGCACACAAAGAGTTGTGGTCAATGGCTCAATGTCCTGCTGGAGACCAGTAACGAGTGGTGTCCCTCAGGGATCGGTGTTGGGACCGGTCTTGTTTAACATCTTTGTCGCTGACATGGACAGTGAGATTGAGTGTGCCCTCAGCAAGTTTGCCAATGACACCAAGCTGTGTGGTTTGGTTGATACGCTGGGGGGCAGGAATGCCATCCAGAGGGACCTTGACACGCTTGTGAGGTGGGCTGATGCCAACCTTATGAAGTTTAACAATGCCAAGTGCAAGGTCCTACACCTGGGTCAGAGCAATCCCAGGCACAGCTACGGGTTGGGCAGAGAAGAGATTCAGAGCAGCCCTGCGGAGAAGGACTTCGGGGTGTTGGTTGATGAGAAAATGAACATGAGCTGACTTCAGTGTGCGCTCATAGCCCAGAAAGCCAACCCTATCCTGGGCTGCATCAAAAGGAGCGTGACCAGCAGGTCGAAGGAGGTGATCCTGCCCCTCTACTCTGCTCTCGTGAGACCTCACTTGGAGTATTGTGTGCAGTTCTGGTGTCCTCAACATAAAAAGGACATGGAACTGTTGGAACAAATCCAGAGAAGGGCCACGAGGATGATCAGGGGACTGGAGCACCTCCTGTATGAAATCAGGCTGAGAAAGTTGGGGCTGTTCAGTCTGGAGAAGAGAAGGCTGCATGGAGACCTCATAGCAGCCTTCCAGTATCTGAAGGGGGCCTATAGGGATGCTGGGGAGGGACTCTTCTTTAGGAACTGTAGTGATAGGACAAGGGGTAACGGGTTAAAACTTAGACAGGGGAAGTTTAGATTGGATATAAGGAGGAAGTTCTTTACTATGAGTGTTGTGAGGCACTGGAATAGGTTGCCCAGGGAGGCCGTGAATGCTCCACCCCTGGCAGTGTTCAAGATCAGGTTGGACGAGGCCTTGGGTGAGATGGTTTAGTGTGAGGTGTCCCTGCCCATGGCAGGGGGATTGGAACTAGATGATCTTAAGGTCCTTTCCAACACTAACTATTCTATGATTTCTAAGATTTTGGTTGGTATTTTTGTTTGTGTTTTGTTTGTTGTTTTTTTAATTCCTGAGATTTTTTTCTGGTTTTCTGGTGTTTTTCTTTGTGTCTTTTTGGGGAAGCTATCTAATACAACTGAGCTATACCCATTCACAAAAATAGATCATGTTTCCTGAAAGACAGCATTTAGCAGGATGCACAACACAGTTCTAGAGGTGCATCTAGGAAAGTTCGTGTCATTCCCAACCTTATCAGTAGAAGTTATATGCAGATAAAAGGGGAGAACTGGGTCATTTAATGTTGGAGTAGATCCTCCCAACACACAGAGTAGAAAGTTAGACGAGGCCTGTTAAAAACCCTGCCTGAGAATTAATGAGAGCGGTGTAAGGTGGTGTTCCATGTCTGGCATAACGGCCTTTGGTGTCCTAGCTGCATAAAGTAAATATCTGCCTGTCACCCACAAGCAAAGGGAGGGTGAGCTAGTTGCTGTTTATGTAGTGCTACAGTTGGGATTGTGCAAAATAGAGAGTGCATTGCAGCACAACACCTCTGTAGGCTCACAGGAGTCCCCAGGCAGCACAAACATCAGTGGGACAATTCAGGCACAATCAAGTATCACACAGAAACATCACTCATTTGGCTGAAACTCATTCAAACAAACAGAAATCAAAGATTACACAATCCCCATTAGCTTCAGTGTGCATGCTGGCACTTGTGATGGTGTTTGAGAGAAGCCAGTTTCAGGTACTTAGGCTGGCATTTGAGCAAAGCATCAACACCTTTAAGGACCACAACCAAAGAAGGTTCTTTCAACAGAAAACCAGCAGTGGGTCTGCTCATGTTGTTGTGTAAAATGAGCAGGGAAGCAGGTGCATGAGGATGTTCTTGGAGATCCTTTCGCAAGGCTCACAAACATCACTGCAGTTCCTGGGTCTCTTTGTTCGAGCCTGTTGCCTTCCTTTCAGTTTCCTGGTTCACAGCAAGAGCACAGCACAGCATCTCTCCCCTGTCTTTATGACAAAATGAAGTGTTAAGTGACTGGGCTGCAGTGCTTGTCCTGCAACTCCTCACCATGTTGCAGTTTAGCTTAAACACTGGCAAGTTCTGTCTGCAACCTTTCTGTCTTAATGCATGTGAAATGTTGGGGAGAATTTCAGAAAGTACCAGCAATTGACAGACACAGGTGCACAAATCCATGAGACCTGATGAGATGCATCCACGGGTCCTGAGCGAACTGGTGGATGAAGTGACTAAGCCACTATCCATCATAGTTGAGAAGTTGAGAGAGTCTGGTGAACTTCCAACTGACTGGAAAAGGGGAAACATAACCCCTATTTTTGAAAAGTAAAAAAAGAAAGACCCAGGGAACTGCAGGCTTGTTAGCCTCATGTCAGTGCCCAGCTAGATCATGGAGCAGATTCTCTTGGAAACTATGTTAAGGCACATGGAAAATAAAGTGATTGGTGACACCAAATATGGCTTCACTAAAGGCAAATCATGCCTGACAAATTTGGTAGCTTTTTATGACAGGGTTATAGCATTGGTGAATAAGGGAAGAGTGACTGACATCAT